ACAACCCTCTGAGCTCGGCCATCCAGCCAGTTCTCAATCCACCTCACTGTCCACTCATCTAGCCCACACTTCCTGAGCTTACCTACAAGGATGTGATGGGAGACAGTGTCCAAAGCCTTGCTGAAGTCCAGGTAGACAACATCCACTGCTCTGCCCTCATCTGCCCAGCCACTCACTCCATCAGAGAAGGCTATCAGACTGGTCAAGCATGATTTCCCCTTTGGTGAATCCATGCTGACTACTCCTGATCACCTTCTTGTCCTCCAGATGCTTAGCGATGACCTCCAGGAGGAGCTGTTCCATCACCTTTCTAGGGATGGAGGGGAGGCTGACAGGCCTGTAGTTTCCTGGCTCCTCCTCCTCGCCCTTTGAAATGAAAATGGGGTCCTTATTTTAAAAAGTGGAGGAGGAAGCCGATACTTTTACTGCCATTTCTTTAACTGAAAAAAGTGCTTGAAAATAGAAGAAAAAACAACTGTCTCCTCAGATCTGTTTTTCTGTTGTTTTTAAAGAACATTGCTATATTAAATAAGTAACACTTTCGCTATGTTTTAGCCATCACCATAGTTGAAGAGTTTCATCTCAGTTTATTAACTGAGATAACTCAGTTTTTTGGTGATTTATTTAGAATGTATGTTGGAAGCTAGGTGGGTGTCACTCAGTGGCTATTTGGTGGATTCGGGGAGCTTTTCTTATTCAGATCAGGATCTCTTAAGTGTTTAGACCTAATCTTCCTTCCTGCTTTTAAGAGTCCCTTTGTAAGCAGTAGAACCTGCAGGTCTGTCAAGTAATAACTGGTCAGATTTACACCAGAACTTTAACACTCTGTTTGCCATGCCAATAAGAATTTTTACCCATAGTTTTTAGGAGGCATTTTGTACTTGCAAACACACTTTCTGAATACACTTCACATTTGATAACTTTGCCTTGGTAATAATTTTTCATTTTCTTTATTTCTTCCCTTCTGCCCTTGTCCCAAGGATTTCCTCTCAGCTTGAGCAAATGTTTAGTTCCAAAATATTTTCAGAAGATATTCATAAAGATTTAAAGACCCTTCCTGTCCTTGCTTAGGACAGGCATGATTCAATTTTGCCAAATTATGTTGGGTACCTTTAGACAGAGGTACTCACGGATGTGATTTGTGTGATTAAAATGTTATTAACCAAATCTGGCATGGTACACAGGTTTTTCAAATAATAGCATTCAATAAAGCGCAGTTCAGCATGCCAATGAGTGCAAAAGACTTCAATTTTTTTTATTTTTAATAAATCGTTTGCATGTAGTTGAATAAGTTGAAATCAGAACACAGTATTCTGAATTTACTGAGACTGGCCTGAGTTGAGGGACTACTGGTTTGAGCCCTCAAGTATTACGATATTATTTTGTTGTGTGCTGAAATATTTTTTTTAAAAGACATTTGGTTGTACATAAAGATATCCCTTTCTAACAGGAGATATTTGCAAGAAAGCCAATGTTGGAAAAATTAACCACCGTTGATGGTTATTTGAAGTCATAAGTTTCATGGCAAATTATTTAATTGAAAGTTAAAACTGGGAAAAAAAAAACACCCTACACTGCATTTGTGAAGCCTGTGCAAAGAAAGATTTGTTCTTCTGAGATGTCACAACTAACAGCTAACTTGGTTTAGAGCTGAACTCATGGTTGACTCATTGTCAATAATGGATATTTTCTCATGTGCAAGACATAAGACATAACAAAGCGAGTTTTATTTATCTTGTTCTGTTATGTTAATTTCTGTCCCTCACTTTCAGCACGGCTAAGATGCCATTATAACGGCTATGATATGATTTTATTTTGAAGTAGATATCAGATCATGTTAAAAAAGGTTTGTAATATATTTTAACTTTAAAATGAAAAAAGAAAAAGCTCAC